CGATACTGGCGAGACAAAATTATTAGGCCCTTATTTGGTGCAACAGGACGTAGAGAAGGTGAAAGTGATTCAAGATCAATAGTTGACCGCTCAGAGCCGACAAAAGTCCTACTCAGATAACCGGTGTCGAGACATAAAGTTTGCTATAGGAAACTAGTATTCCTGTGAGTGTCGTCTATGAATGGCGTGATAAGGCCCGGCAAGAGAGGAAAAGTTAGACCCTACTATGTCGGACCTTATCAGATTATCCAAAAAATTGGCCAAGTAGCTTATAAGCTTGAGTTTTCCCCAGAATTGGAAGCAGTTCATCCAGTGTTTCTTGTATCCATACTTCGTAAGTGCTTGGGTGACCCTCCCGCATTACCCCCATTGAGGATGTCCAGGTCACAGAAGACCTATTCTATGAGGAAATTCCGGTAGTTATCCTAGATCGCCAAGTTCGTAAGTTATAAACCAAAGAGGTGGCTTCAGTTAAGGTACTTTGGAGGAACAACAATGTAGAGAATTACATGGGAAGCTGAGGAGGATATCAAATCCAAATATCCTCATTTGTTTTAGACTGCAGGTTTATATCGACACTTGTGAGATACAGTTTCGTTAATCTTAAATTACTTATCGAGCATAATTCACATATCTTGTTTAGGTGATAATGCTGAGTGCTGACACATGTAAATGCCTAATTTTTGCCTTGTTTATATATATATATATGTGTGTGGGGGGGGTGTGTTTTTCTTATTTTTTGTATGTATAAGTTTCAAGAGTTGATTAATGGTTTGATAAATGGGGTAGGGATTGGACTAGTATATTTTAATTAAAATTGAGCCAAAATTGGCCCAAAATTTGAGCCCATTTCGTCCAAATCCGGTCCACAAGGGGCTGCCAAGAGGAGGGTCCAAACGACGTAGTTTTGGATCAAAACTACGTCGTTTCACTAAATGAAACAAGATCAAATCTTACCCCTCCATTCCACCTTGATCCAATGGATCTCATTCACTCTTGTCCTAGGTATTTAAAGCCTCTAAATTTGAAAATTTTCCCCATTTCCACCCATAATCCTTTTCTCTTCTTCTCTCTTATCACTCTCTCCCCCCTCTCTTCCCCTCCGCCTGTCCGCCGCCCAGCGCCGCCCGCCGGAATTCGCCACCGGCGGCGGCTAACGTCCAAACACCCCCAAATTACACCATTCTTTTCCTCTCATCACCCTCTTCCTAGATCCACAACTCAAATCCCCCAAATCTCCACCAATAATCAACAAAATCAAACCCTAGTCGCGCCGTCACCACCCTAGCCGCCGCCCACCACCCCAAATTCCGGAAATTTTACACCACCGGTTTCCTCTTGTCCCCCTCTTTCCATATCTCCAACTCAAAACCTCAAAAAAACCCAACCGCCGCCGGCAGCCGCCCCTACTGCCGCCATCCCGCCGCCGCCACTGCCGCACACTTCCGCTCGTTTCTTTTCTTTAACCGGCCTCGAGCAAGGTTGTGTCGTTGATATTATTGAAACCGGACTCGGATTCGCCGGAATTTTTCGGTTTCAAGAATATCAACAATAGAAGCTTGCTCCAAAGTCGTGCCACTGCCTATCGTCGTCTCCCGGATGCTCGAGTATATGGTAAAATCGCAATCCCGGCCCCGTTATTAATTTTCTGATTTTTTCTTTTTCTTTTGTTTTTTTTAGAGTTAGTTTCTGTTTTTTTTAATTTAATCCATTTTCTGATTATGTTTGTCTTTGTTAAATCGCTTCGGCGATATCGTGCGTTCCGTTTTATTTTAATAGCTAATTTTTGTTTTGCTCATGTTGGTTCACAATACATGTGTTGAAATTTAATTACATGTTTTAATACTTGGTTTAATTTGAATCAATAGGTTGATATTGGTGTTGTTAAAATCTGAAATTTAGATATTTTTATAATGAAATAGGGCACTAGTAGCTTTATTTTAGTAGGGTGGCTGAAGTGACCCTTTGGCTCCTGCCATAGCAGATTTCAGGCTGTCCTTTCACCTTTTGGACAGCCTTTAGCCCACAAATTCAGCCTCTTTTGGACAGATTTTTGGGGAACCAAAATCTGTCCAAAAAGTTGGCTTTTCTTTGCCTATTTAAGGGCTGCCCTTTCTTCATTATAAAGGACTCCAACACACTACAATTGAAAGGAAAAAACACACAAAAACATTAAAAAATCAGCACTTGAACACATGGAAAGTAAGCTGAAATGGTGAGCTTTAGGAGTTGATTTTAGAGTGCAAACTTTTAGAAAAGTATAAGTCCTCTTTAGAGTTCGTTTCTGGGTTTCTCCTCTGAATTTTCGGGCTGTTTTAACACGGATTTGCTGCTGATTTTGCTGTTGTTGTGCTGCTGTTTTTTATGCTGGTTGAATTGCTGGACTACCATTTATTCTTTTGCTATTCAGGTTATCCTTTAAGACTCGTAATGTATGTATTTTTAGCAATGGGAATAAGTTGATATGTCAGTAGTTTTATGGATTTTTAAGCATGTTTTCAAGCTATTGTATTCGAGTAACAATGTTAAGTATGCCATGAATGACTTTAGGTGTATAACACATAGCATGAGTTTGTTTTAGTTGCTGAAATTTCAATGCAACATTGCTTCTAGGATTGCTGTTTTTTTTTCGAATCTGGCCATTTTTGCCATTTTTGCAAAAGTGGCTATTTTTGTAAAGTATTTTTTTTGAATCTGGCCATTTTGCCAGCTTTGCAAAAGTGGCTGTTTTTGTAAAGTATGTGTTTATACAATTGTGGCTATGTAGTTAATGGTCATAAATGCAAACTAAGTTAAAGAACCAATATTGTATCAACTTTGGGCCTTATTGAACCAAAAAATAAAAGCTGGCCCATTTACCTTAAACAACAAAATTACCCTTTTCTTCTATATAGCATTGGGCCTATAAAAATTCATTTCTTGGCCCATTTTTTAGTAATAAATTCCAGCAGCCCAAGAGGTCTTTACAAGCTGGCCCATTTCCCCTTTTAACAAAGAAGTTGGCACATCCCTTTAAAATAGATAGAGTTGGTCCAACATTTATTTGCATAATATTTTCAATAATAAGATTAGGAAAATAGAAATAAAAAATCAGATTTTTTTTATATACCAATTAAGTAACTCACTTTCTTCCAATTAATTATATCGAACGCTAGGCAATTAGTAGGTGCGCTCTAATTCCACGGTTTCGCTTGCGTAACGTGATGTTCAACATTCAATAATTTAATTCAACAAGGTCATACAATATTCGTTAGTTTTCCAGTTGATTTTTTAGTTTAATAAACTCTTTGTCAAACTCGCGGATTCGCTTGCGTAGCGCGATAATTGACCTTTTAATAAATTTCAAAAAAAAAATTTTAATAATTAAACTCTTAGAATGTATTAATTTTCAATAATTTGCTAACAATTGTTTGTCATGACTGCGGATTCGCTTGCGTAGCGCCGTTATGATTAAATAATAAATTTCGTCGATCACGCATTCGCTTGAGTAGCGCGACGGTTGACTTGTAAATTTTAAAGAGCTAATTTTCTCAAATGTAGTATTTCTTTTTTTTAAAAAAGTATTACAAATAATTGATTGTCATGATTTCGGATTCGCTTGCGAGGCACAATTATGACAAATTAATTAATTATTTTTTATTCGATCACGCATTCGCTCGCGTAGCGTGGTTATGACATTTTTTATATTATTCAAAAACATTCTTTGATTTCTCTAATAATCAAGAGATAAAAGCAGATAGGTACAACATGGAAATAATATAAATCACAGTTTGTCCAAAATTAATTCAAGCCAAGTTTAAGTCAATAAAGCGACCGTGCTAGAACCACGGGACTCGGGGAATGCCTTATACCTTCTCCCTGGTCAACAGAATTCCTTATCCGAACTTTATTTTCGCGGACCGATAAAAATAGAGTCAAACCTTCCTTTGACTAGGGATTCAAATAAATGGTGACTTGGAACACCGAAAAAATCAATTCAAAGTGGCGACTCTGAACAATAAAATAATCCCTACTCAAGTTTTTTGTCACTTTAATTGGAAAAACTCTTTAAACCATATATACATATATTTCGGGGGGTACAAAAAGTGGTGTGACAACACAAATATGGAAGACACAACACAGAGTATAACGGATGATAGTTGAGGTGAGTCATGGCTAACCCTTTTTTATTTTTTTACATAAATAGACAGTCATGTGAGGCTAGTTTTCAGATAGCCCTATTTACAAAGGAAACTTTGCATTGGTTGTGTGTTTGGGCTGCTTATCAGTTTTCAGATAGCCCTATTTACAAAGGAAACTTTGCCAAAAAAATTTAAAAATCTTGGGAGTTAGAATATTATTCAACATTCGAGGACGAATGTTCCTAAGGGGGATGATATTAACCCCCATACTTTTGACGTCAATTGCGTCGTTAGTTAAATAACATAAGTCTGGAGAGTTTAAGATCCCTCCAAAAGTTTAAGAGAGGTTTATTGAGGTGATAAGTAAGTTTCACAAGAATTCAGGGTTATACGAATATAAAAAAATACTTTTCGACGAAGTTCGCCAAAGGGAAGTGGATTGCCATAGCCGTACTTTTGGGGTAAGAATAAGAGTGCTTAATATGACAATAAGGTCTTGTTATAAGTTATTTTAATCATACAATAATCGTGTGTTAAGCTTTGAAGTCAAGTAAGTTGTAAAATAAAAAATTTGCAAAAGTTGTCGCAAGATACGTTCATAATCTTACTGAAATTTGGGTCTAATGTCGCTGAGCTTTTCTATCATGTAATTGGAGTTATAGGGCGATCCACCCACCAATTTGAAGCTCTACGAGTCTAGTTTTAACGCATTAAACTGTTTGTCGATACGATATTTGAGTAGAGAGATATTCGTATTTTTGCGAGACTGCACAAGCAGCTCCCTATGGGACCCACTTTGGAAGGTGAAAATATTCAGATATATACCAAATGCCTAGAACCCGTTTTCATTCGTATTTTTTCACTATTTCCATACCCAAAACACTCCCAAACGCTCTCTAAGAGTTGTCATATGATCCAAGGCCAAAATCAAAGGCTACCAAGTGAATCCAACCCCAAGAATCTTGTGGTGTAGCTCTAGTGCGTTGTGGTGACGTTGAAGGTTGGTCTAAGTGAGAGTAAACTCATGTTTCGATCTGACCTTTTTGATTGAGGTAAGTTATTACTTCCTCCATATTTTCTTGTGCTTGTAAAAGCCATGGCTAAGTCATAAGATTGGAAACCCGTGAGGTATAGCCCGAAAATCATAATTATGTTTGGTTATCTAGTATGAGACTGTTTTGAAAATTTTTAAAGGTATGCTGTGGCAGCAAAATTGGTGCAGTAGCTTGTGTAGGTTGTTGTTGCTGCTATGGGCATAAGAAAATGTCTTAGAATTTTAGGGTGTGTTTGGTATGGAGGAAAATATTTTTTGGAAAATGTTTTCCAATTTTCTCATGTTTGGTTGGCTTAAATGTTTTGGAAAACATTTTCCTTATCAATTCATTTTCCTCCAATTGGAGGAAAATGTTTTCCTTATCAAAAGAAGGGAAAACATTTTCCAAAGCTCCTTCTCAACCTTTCTCACCCTCACCAA